TTGTGTAAATAATTTATTGAGTTGCGAGATTCAAAATGAAAACCCAGTTTGTATTTTTTTACCACCTTCTAGTATGGTTTGATGGTTAAGCATGAGAGAGAGATAAAATAAAGGGATAGAATAGAGGAGCAATGGTAGATAGTGAGATGAAATTCACCGAGTGGAATTCCTGTACGAGTTGAATCTGCGTGACACTCATTTGACATTCAAATGTCGAAGTACCACTATAGGTTTCGTCCTCATCCCTGAATGCATATTTTATAATTTACATCCGCACAATCATATGTGCCCACACGTCCCTGGTAGATTATCAAAGTTTTCACTGCTTCTGTCTTGTTTAAATAAATCTTTGTGGTCATTCAATTTCCATGTCCATTCATTTTTCAATAACTTTTTTTCTTTATTTTAAACTACAGATGAGATACTTGGAGGATGAATTGTGCAGGTCCTTGCAACATATCGTACCAACAAATAAGTGTACTTTTATTATCATCATTGAATTAATCTTAAAAAAAAAATCTGGTTTTGTAAAGTTGGACGTAAACCAGCGCAGGTGAAAAACGAGCTCCAGTCACGGCTCGGCAACTATAACAGTTCCGCCGTTACATGCTCGACAGAAGCTGCATGTTCCGTTGTGTTTACTGATGTTTCACCTTCCATCCGCTCTTCATTTCCTCGTTAGCAATCTGTAGCTCGTGTCATGCGTAATCTGGTCTGCCATTGGAGCTTTTACGATCTCGATTCAGCTGATATTAGATTGCGTGGTATGATTATTGCTCATGGTATCGTTACTTTTGATAGTTCCTCAACAGATTGTTTGAGCGTAAGTCACCTCTAAAGTTTTTCTTTGTTATTTCATTTGTATTGAAATAATAGCATCATTACTTTAAAAAGTTTTGATAGGTTTTTAATCAACATTCACTTCATTTTCATGAAAACTCACGTAAATTTATTTCAAATGTACTTACTTATCAGTCAATCTATCATTATAGTTATAAAATGACAAATACAATTTTCCTTTGCGTGAAGTAGCCCTTAGAATTTTTCTTGAGTACAAAAATACTGCTTTGAGGTATAGGTAGGAAAATTCTCGGAATATTAGGATGAACCAAATCATAATATGTTGAGGTGATTTTCAATTATCGAATTAAAAATTTAAGCATGGCTTTGACCAATTGGATGGATAGTAAAAAAAATCGGTTTATCTATTTGTGTCAAATAAAGTTTTTTTTTTTTCATCATCTTTGTGGAATCATACACTGTATATTTTTGACAAAAAAGCTTAAACATTGAACAACACTCTTTACCCATGCAAGAGAGTAAAACACAATTACGAACGTATATTATTCATCCACAGTGGCGGCAACAGTAGAAGCAGCGGTAGGGAGAGAATTTAAAGCTCATACGCAGAAACGATTATATACTTTTGTCTCTGGTCTTGCAAGCTCACATTAACACTAACTATACACGTTGTACATGAAATATAACGGGTGAGACAGTCACGCCGCACAATTTTGGACCGGAAACACTATATGAGCTCCTTGGCTTGGACTTCGTTTTGTTGGTTGGTGAGAGGGGAGACAGAGAAGAGGTGGTGCATTTGGAGCCCCTTCGCGAACGATAAAGACAAAAATCAAGCAGTACTCTATCAAGACTCGGAATTTATCGTCATAACAACCACCAAGGAACTTCGAAGCTATCAACAAATGCCTTGTGCACCTAAAGCTACACTATTTCGGGAATTTTTGTTGTTGTTATTCATCCTTGCTTCTTCTTCGAGACTCTCTCGCTCTGATGAACTTCTTTCTTTAGTGCTAGTCATCTAGTCTAGTCATCGCTGGATTTGCTCTGAGACGACAGATAAAAGAGACACCATAAACGCGTATAAAGTTCCCGTGGATGTATAAACTATACAGAGATCGAGTCTCCTGGCTCGGTCATTAAAAACCATCGTTAAACACAAGCAGTCTCTTAACTCGTAGTGCGCCTTCGGGCTTTATAGGTACGCGTCTGCCTGGCCCCTCTATTTATCTCAAAAAAAAAAAAAAAACTCGCACCTTTTGTCCTTATACCTCTCTCTCTCTCTCTCTCTCTCTCTGCTCTTTCCCGTCTCCGTGTATAGTGTCTACATCTTCTGTTTCTTTTTCACCAATTTGATCACCACCTAACTCCTACAGTGTATCCTTCGAGGGACTATTCCGAGAGCTATCACTCGGCCCAAGATTCACTGCCAGAAAGCACGAGCTCGCGTTACAGCCTTTATTCGTTTATGTGTGTACTCAAGTCCCATTTTTTATCGTTGGTCCCATTTTTGGTCAATCAGATAATAAATTTACAGTCTTGGTAGTGCACCTATACCGTTCGAACCCCTGTAGAAATCGGTGTAAATCAGAAAAGTAGGATGATGCTGCGAAAAATTTCTTACAGTCATCAAGCTTTGCTGCACGTACACCCAACAGCAGATTGATCTAGACCTAGTTTCGAAAGGCCACTTAACTTTAGGTCAATTCGGCGTGAACATTACCATACGTGAATTATGCATAGAGTCGTTATCATTTAATCAACTCCCATCCATCAGTAAAATTTAGGACCCACCTACATTGGTGATATACCTTTATTCAGGATACATAGAAAATTCGAAGCAACGTGACGTCAGCTTAAACTCAGTTCCAAAAAATGTACTTCATCACTGCAAGTAACGTCTCAAGAAGGCACGGCTCTGCGGCGTATCGCATATGGTACTAGAGAGAAAAAAAAGCTCCCGTATAACGTATACACACGTGTATACGATTCCTTCGCGTACGGATACCATTCTCTTGCTTTCTCGTTCTAAATATCCCATCACCTTCTAATCTCCCTTGTCACCTTTCACCCCTGATTAACGATGAAAAAATGTAAATTCCAAGCCGGATTCGTGTAGGTGTACGCGCGAGTGCCCCCGCGAAACCGCGTGCAAACGGACCATACAATCGTAAAACGTAATCTCCATACATTAACCATTTCGGATTAGGGCGGGCATGCTCCTGCCTCGATTTTTTTTATCACCTTCCCTTCACCTCACCCCATTGAGATTGCATGTTTCAGGAGGGAGGAATTGTATTGCGTGACTCGGCTCGAATATGTACATGTATGTGCACATACACGCGTCTGTTCTTGACACTTGTCGGTCAGGTGATCGCGTGATCGTGCACTGGGGTATGGTGTGAGAAACTTGATAGAGGAAATATAAAAAGTGGGGGAGAGAAAAAATGTCCTCGTGAGTTGTACTCGTGGGGTGTCTTGCATACGATCAGAATAAAGGGGACTATGAAAACACGTACATTTTCAGACAACCAAGGTTAATTTAATTTAAACGATTTATCATTACATATGGATGTATCGTACGGTATTAAAGAGAATTCGAACAAAAATAAACGGAGTTTACCCGAGTGTTGAAAGTATTCACTTAGGATTGTGTTCAAACTATTTCTACTACGTTTCACCCTGACAAGTCGTTCGACTTATACCAGTAAGTCGCAAGTTGAACCTCTTTAAGATTCGTTGATAGAAACATACGTATTTATCACCAGTTCAAAAAACAATTAAAGAACTATTAAAGAAGTACACTTTTTTATGTTGATTCACATACTCATCGGTTATTCTACAAAATGGACGATGATCTAAAATATAATTTGCACGAGAGTACACATAATAATCGATAAAATTATTTCCTGCAACATGTTCTCCAACACCATCGTACTTGTAGCTTGTGTCTGAATAAAGTATTGACGTTAGAGATTTATCAGTTGGTATGCTAATACACTACAGAATTTTTTTTTTCCATACATACTTGATATTATTCTTAATTAGTTGCATAATCACCTTTAGATCTATAAATCTTTGTTTCTAACATAATGATGGATTAACGCCCGATGGGTTGTGTAAATGGCAATTGTTACACGATCAAACGATAACTCGATGCTTAATTACTCGTGTTATCGAGCGCGACTAATTAAAATACACAAAAGCAGGACGAGCAGCAGCAGCAGCAGCAGTGGCAAAGGAACAAATTTCCATATTACCCGCAAATTGCGCAAACAATGTGGTGTTGCAAGCAAGTAACTGGCAATTAGTGAGCGTTTGCCAGTCGGCGAAAAGCAAAACGCACATTAGAGCACCCAGTCATGCGAAACGGGAGGAAAGAGATGGGCTGCCGAGTGTAGGTACTACGCACAAAGATACCCATGGGCCGTAACGTGCCTCTTTGCGACCACGTCGACATGCATCTACTTCTGCGAGAGAGGAAATATTGCAACATACGTAGCATCCCCGCCACTGATGAAATTATTCATGGATGATGAGGAATTTCATTAGCTTAGCTTGAGACTCACAAGCACTGTGCATCCAAATGTATTTTGTATATGTATGCGTGCATCAAGCTCACGTGTACTGAAAACTTGACGTATTTCCGTACTTTATTCAACATACACTGTTATCTCAGTCTCTGCATTAGAAAATTGGCGTATTCCATAGGAATTTCGGGTATAAATTATACCTCGTGAATGAAAATCAACGTCAAGCGGTTAGTTGACGAGCTAAAAGGTATTTATGGGTTTTAGAAACTAATTTCTGAGGCAAAACAGTTTAACTTCATAATTACTACGTGAAATAGTCAGATTGCCGGGTTTTGAATTAATATTACGTATAAAGTTACAAATGTAGGTACGTCCGTCCTAAAACATTTATTACTTCAATACCATATACTGCTATTTATATAATAATTAATGCCCGTTTGACCTGCAGAGATAACAGATAAAAACGTTAATAAAAAATAGATCCCGAGGTCAAATGGTATCCTTTGAAAATCAAAATAGAGCTGACATATGATGAGAGCACAACCAAAAGATGAGAATATCACATTGAAAATGTTTGTACGTGCAAGGCGTGTGAATATATCTGTTTTTGCCCTCCTATTTTTTGTCAAATGCCTCGCTCATTTTTTTCTTTCTTGTGTGTTGCAGCAGTGGAGGCGCTGAGGGTCGAAGTAAAGGTTCCACCGTACCTCAAGAAAGGCGAGTCTGCCAGGCTGGAGTGCAGGTGAGAGGGCACTTGCCCACTTTAGCTCTTTGGAACTTGTGTCAAAATGCATGCATACATATACAACATGCATGGAAACTTTGTCACAGCCTCTACACACCCTATACTTTCACGAATTTCTTTAAACGTAGTATTTTTGATATTTTCTCTTTCTTTTTATCTTTATATCCCCTCCTTTCTTGCTTCCACAACTCCCCCTCGTCTTCACCCTCTTCCCTATCGTTAAACTTTCTCTTACGTTTGATTTGTTTTTTTCTCACTTTTATCTTATCTTTTTAAGGATAATAATGACCTAACTAGAAAGGTTTGATCTTCCAATCCTGTAAAATGAGTAAGATCAACTTTATAAATGAATCTTTTGAATAAATGCTTTTAATGAAAATATAGAGCTTTTAAAAACTAGTGATGCTAAAATATAAACTGTTTTCTGACAGCTTTAGGTTTTAAAAAAAATTTTTTTAATATAGGTTGCATTTTCAAGGAATCTAAAGCAAAATAATAGTTTTGTTCCCTTGTGCAGTACCCCTATCTCATCTCTTTGTTTATACAAGTTGCTTATCATCTTCGTCTTTCTTGCTTATTTTTGCCAACTATACACAAGAGAGTTTTTCTCGGCCTTCCTCTTCAAATAATTTGTCTGATAACAGGACGAACAAAGTGGGAGCGATTATTTTTAATTGAAGCACAAAACGTGCTCTCACATCTCGGATTTTTTTGTTTTCTGTGTTTTCGGAAACTTTTTGATGAAGCTCTACACTTTTAAGCTTTTTTGCATTTTGTCCTTCGCTTCATGATAACCTTACGTATCAAAATAATTAAAATTTACAAAATTAATGTATCCTTCATTACGTTAACATGTATAACGTTGGACGTACTTAAAAATTTTGAATAGTCCTTGTAGATCGTAGATATGTGACACTCGTCAGCAATTTAATTTATTTTATCCATCACAGTGATAAAATAAACTATCTGTCTTCAAAGTTAATTTATGTATTTTATTTCTAGTCTGTGAGAACATTTTTTTCTTTTTTTAAAAATCATAAAACTCATTGAATTAACCAAAATAACTACGTGGGCAACGCAAGTTTTCAATTCCTCGCAGATACTTGCAGAATTTCAACGTAGATCAAGTGTATAAATATTATCGTGGAAAAAAGAGAACGAAATAAAACAAGCATCTAACGAGCCGCAGTGTCTCCTGTAGCTTTGAAAAAGTCGGGTGTTTTTGCAACTACTGTATACACTGAAAAGCAAAGCCGAGCAACTCCGCGGGATCGTACGTAAATCGCCCTTTCGGCCACAGCCCCTTCCCTACAAACAGGCACGTTGTATGAAAAAGCTTTTAATTTTTTGTTCTTTTCCTCTCGTTTCGTCTTGATAAGCTCGTTAATTTAAGATAATGCTGCCGAGCTTTTGCTTAGTCATTATGCTTCCTCTTTTTCTCCCCGTTGCCCAAAGTTTTCCATCCAAGTGTTGGAATACTCCCCCTTGTGTTCCTGCGTTAGTGCGGGGCTTATGCGCAATGAGCTTTCCACCACTGCGACCGCACCGTAGGTAAGAGCGAAGCTCCTGTTTTATTTAACCTTAGGATGATTATTTTATTTTTTTTTTTAGTAATTCTTTTGTTTTTTCTGTTTCAAATAGGATTCCACGGAAAATTTAGTGGTTCAATGTAGTTTTACAATATTAAGATTCAAAAAGTTTCTCCCTCTCCTAAAGACAAATGGAAATCACTCGTGTGAAAATGACGTAAAATTTGTCCTAAATAGGGCACTACTTACCCTATTGTTAATTCAATTTCGTCTATTTTCGAAATCAGGTTGTGTATTGCCACGAGTAAATGTACGTGGTAACACATGCTCGTTCCATTTTACTCTGGTTTCTGCTTTTGCCAGATCGAGGAATAGTATTATACACGAAACTCCATACAAAATCTCTTTAAAAAATACCACAACTGGGCCAGCAGTTGATAGTATGGGATCATGCAATAATTCCAAGGTTAGCAGTAGTGGCATTAAGTTAAGTGTCTTACAACGAGACTAAAATCCTTTTCAGTAGGTCTTACTATTGTGTTCCTTTTGCTTACTCTCATTAGACTCCACATTTGCGAAAAAATGTACGTGATGAATTTTATAAATTTGACCGTAGTTGCCCTTTCAGTTTGCATTGCATGAACATCTTTTAAATGGTTGATACAAGTATCATATTTTTGTACAATAAATTACTGCGGATAAATACATAAAATCTAGAAAACGAAAAAAAAAAAAAAAAAAAAAAAAAAAAAAAAAAAAAAAAAAAAAANCATCAACGTTTTTCGACGCATTAAAAAAAAAAAAAAAAAAAAAAAACAACAGTAGACAATGTATAGGTTTGAGAAAGATTCCAAATGATTATATTTTCCACAAAGCGTACGCATACGCGTGGATTGACGGGACGAAATAAGCACAGGAGTGAAGAGGCCGAGATGATTTGAAGCATGAGCGGCAGACGTAGGGAGGGACGGATAGTAGGCGAGAGATGGAAAAAGGAAGAGCAAATAAAAAAGAGCTTTTCTCGAGAAAAAGTCGTGAAATGAGAAAGCAGCTGTGTGTGTTGGGGCACAGACGCGTAAGACGATCGAGACTATGCGAGAGGGGACGACTGTATAACCGTGTACTTACTGGGCGTGGAGAGACAAATAAGCCAGACAGCGTTAGCCAGCAAAACTCGGCGTCTGAGACCCGTACTCGTACCTTAGTACTCGACCGCCATCAAATACATACGACAACCATACCGTGTTACCGTGTACTGTGATGTGTGTGGTAGTGGAAGGTTGAAGTCCATCAGAAATTAAAAAAAGGACATAGACGTAGTGTAAGAGTAGAGAGTCTGCGTAATGTGTATAACGTACAAAAAAAAGGGATAGTCTACAGTCAGAATCTATTTTTTTAATTAGCACTCGAGAGCTCGAAAAGCCCGCGGTTTCTCCTTTTCGAGAAATACATTCGAGCTATTTTGAGGGAAGGAAAGAAAGAGCGGGTGTTTGCATGCCTGTATTAATATTTAATGGGACAAGAGCTTGTAAAATAAGGATCAGGGGGTGGGAAAATCGCTTACTCGAGAGAAATGGAGGAAAGTTGCGTGCAACATGCGCTCCTTCCTCGCAATTGTATTAAAGTGGAGAAAATCACGAGAGCGCGAGATGGAAATTTTTCTGTTAATACTGTGTTTTACGTGCATGATGACAAAAATAATAGTTAGAGCTTTAATAATAACTTCATTGTTATTTATTTTGCATCAATTTTTTTCCTTGTTATAGTTTGTTATTAGTATAAGAGCGATAAATTGTTGCACTAGTAAAGCGCTCACGATGGATCTCACACATTTTGGCCAGATATTTTGTTTACGTCACTCATAACATCTCGTCTTAGGGCTTTTTTGTTTAATTGGTTCCAAAAAAATCAAGAAAAATTATTGCTAATGCTGATTACGTGCAAGTTTGTTAACGAAACTTTAAAACTGGTTTACAGTTTCGACGTCTGAAGTTTAGTGAAAGATTTCCGTGAGTTGCGAAGGAAAATTTAATCGTAAAAGTTGGCTGAATGCGAGCCTAAGTTTGTAGTCAAATTGATTTTCTAAAGCTAACGGAGAATACATAAAAATTCGTTTCACAGTAACTCTTTGAGGCTAATTGAAGACCTTAAATAGTCGGTTCGTTTTCGAGTTAGTTAGTACTTGAATTATAATCAAGAGAAAGTTTCAACTCTAAAAAAAATGTTTGCTACCAGCACAAGTACAGAAGCTAGAACCAGCTGCAGCAATTTTTTGCCCGGGTAAACTATCTTTACGCGGAAAATATGACTTGGCCCTAGGAGGAGAAAAATAAAAACTGCTTAACGCGCCCTATTTCCAACTTTTAAATGGCTCCAAATTTCTCATTTTTTACTCCCACTTGATTCTAACTCCTCCGTTTTCTTATCACTTTTAACAACTTCCAGGAAAAAGATGTTCCCCTCCCCTCTTTTACTCGGCACCTCAAAGCTAAAGCGAGTCATCGTGTTAATCACCTTAGGCTCCCTCCGAGAAGAGATAAGAGATCATCCAGCTAAATCATCCACTGGGATCCAACATAATTAAACCGTAAAAAATTAAAACTTTCACAATATCCTGGTGTAAGATCTTCGTCTCATTGATTACATTATCCTTTCTAAAATCCTAAAATCACACTATCCACGATTTCCATTTTATTGAGGCTTCTTTCGCACTCGAAACGCGTAGGAGACACATCCTCATGCGAGCACGTGCCCACTTTCCTTTTTCTTGTCTGGGGGTGAGATCCTCGACGGCTGCAGAGACACAATACAGGCGTCACCCCTAGTACGTGTGACACAGCGCTAATTGGCTGACATCCTGGCGTATGTGCCTCTGGAGACTCGTTAATTAGCTTCCACCTGAGGACGTGTGCATTGGCTGATATCGGTCGGGTAGCTGGGAAGAGCAGAGGGATCCGCTTGTCTGAAGCTCATCTCTGAATGTGGCTCGACTGCTGCAGTAGAATCTCCGTACTTGGCAGTGTAGGTAATGTTTTTGGAGTTGCTGCTACTCCGTCGGTCCATGGCTTTCAATGTGCAGCTATTACGATGAAATTGGAGCTTAAAAATCTTCAGAGCTAGTTTTGATAAAATAGAAAAAAATACATGCAACCTAATCTTTAAATTAGAAACAATTTTATTGATACAAAATGAAGGAGAAGAAACCAAATTCTGTATCGGCAATTTATTTAAATACTAGAATATAGCTGCACAAAAAAAGTAACAAAAAAATATTGAATTTATGCCGGACGGGAGAAGTGCCAAACTTTTCCCACCTGCGGGGTCTAAGCTTGTCCTGTCAGCAATATTTTGACTCTACCAACGTTTTCTCCTCCTCCTCCTCCTTAGCGACTGTAATCGATTATTCCACTAAAAACTATTTTCTTGCATTTTTACCTAGACTTACTTCGCTACAAAAATTTTTACTTACACTTACTAGCAGGAGTTTGACATACTCAGCCTTATGTCTTTCCTCTCCCGAAAAATAGTACTGGTGTTGGTAATTTGTTCGCTCGAGTTCTTAAGCTGCTATTTGTAAGACTCTGATTAATGTATGCAGGACTATTTCAAGGTTTTGGGGAAAAGGAAAAGTGTAAGATGAATCTACTGGTTATCTACATCAAGTATTATTATATACTTTAATGATGATAGGTAAAAAAGTATTAAGTACAAAGTACGTTTTTCACTCGAGGCTCGAGAGCTGGTGCTTGGCACTTGAACTTTACCTCGAAGGGCACGCAACACCACTACATATATATATAGCAGCACCCCCTTTGAACTTTTCCCTGCCGTTATTTGCGTACACGCAGTTATAACAACAGCAACAGCAACGCGACGCAGATCGTAGATAACTACGCACCTGCTCGCGAGAGACGAGCGAAAGTTGCAACGTCAGCGAGGGGCTTTCAAAGCGCCCCGATCAATTGCTCGCGCGCAGGATCTACTTTCAGTGTAATCAACCAACCCTCGCTTCCCTGCTTTGGTGGGAAATTTAGAGTTTTCGTACAACTTTGCCGCTTGACAATTTACTATACGCTTAGTATTGTCTTTCTTCATTACTAAATTACTCTTATTGTGTTAAAGAGCTTTTGTTATATTTCATACATGTTGCACACAGAAACTGAGAGTTGTTATTACTATTAAAAACAAAATTGCACAAACGAATTTTTTCATTGTTATAAATTTGTATTGCATATTCTACTTATATTTTTCAAAAAGTTTTTGTTAGCAGGACTTTGATCTCTCAGCCCTAGATGACTTGAATTCTTATTTTTAGTTTCTCATATTCAACTGGTAAACTTAGCCAAAAGTAGCTTTTTTACAACCATAAAATACAAGACGTAAAAAAATCAGCGAAGTGAAGCAACGAGAAACATCTCAAAAAGAGCGTCGAGTGACGTTTTACCTTATCTGCCCGAGTGTATTCCGCAAAAAATTTAAATCTACAAATAAAAAAAACAAAATGATATTCTAGCAGTACTTATCCGTTAATCGATTTCTCAGACGACGCTCTTATCCAGCAGTATCTCCCAAACGTCCGCAAGCTCTTTCTCTCCCTCCCTTTTTTTCTCCTTCTGGCGCTGAGCCCTTGGCCGTGCCATCCAGCCCCGTAGCAATATCTCAGGCGAGATTTCTATCCGTTTTTCTTTCCTCTACTGCCCTGCCTTCATAAAAGTCTCAGTCTACGAGGACGAAAAATAAAATGATTAAAAAGACCCTCTTTCGTAGAAATATAGCCCACTATCATTTTTTCACACCTCTTTTTTTTTTGTACTCTCTCCATGCCTTTCATTTTGTGGTAAAAACGAAGTTAGGAGAAACTCGACTTGCAATCTTCTTCACCTTAATCGTTCGCAATTATTTTAACTACTCGTGAGTGAGTAAGTCCTTTCTTTCTTTCTTGGTTTTCTTGGGTAAAATGAAGTGATTGCATTCATTATGTAGATCTTACTTGTGTCATTGCGTGTGAAAATACATGTTTTAGATGCATTTTATATTTGGAAAAATCTACGGTGCCTTTAATTATTTTAATTTTTTAGACTTTTTTCTTCAGCAAATGTAACGGCTTACCTTGAAATAGTTCATTGTATCGTGATTGCATGTCAATACAAAAGACATATCCTTTTTGAGCCAAGGTACCTGCGTATGTTGAAAATTATTTTTTTTACAACTTGCCAAGTTTTAAAAACATTCTAAAGTTTTTTTAAGTTTAAAATGAGGTAAAGCATTATAACGGATATAATGGAGTACTCTCTTTATTTTCGTTTTCAACCACCACTTTGCAATGGATTTTTGTATTCAATAGCGTCAAAGAATTATATGGTGAAAATAAAAAAAGCTCATTAGTACTTTAACATCTGAAGAATAAGTACTCCAAGTAATTTGTGGATACAGATTTTTGGAAAGCCCGAAAATTTTGCAAGTGTTGTGGTAGGTAATACTAATTCTAACAGCAGATACTTAAGAACAGCTTAGAACAATGTCAACAACTACAATAATAAGAAGGAGCAGTGCAATATGTCTTAATAAGCCTCGTTAAGATAACTGCTCCAACACCAACAGCTAATATTCTCGACGTTTATCTTGAGCGTAAGCACGACGTGGATTCTCAAGCTATACAAGAGAGTAACTCGTAAGCAACTCGAGGGATTTCGGATACTTTAAGTCAAAGTAGAAAAAAGTAGAACAGGAAAGTATTTTAGTAAAACAGAGTAGTTGTATAGAAAAGGGAATAGAAAGGTGCAGGTCACGTGTGAAGGCAGTGTAAAAAAAAGAAGAAGAAGAAAAAGTATGAAGGGTGAAAAGGTCAGGAAACTCTTGAAATCCCCCAAGGAAGCGACCGCAGTAAATGAGCCAGCGGATGCAAATCAATCCCTTGACACTGGCAGGTACTACTGGTCTTGCCCCGTTTACCCCACTTCTCAGCTCGGTCCCATTCTCTCCTTGCTCACTTGAAGCCCAACGTCTCGTGTACTGTACGATCGACTGCAGCGATTCCTTTGCCAGCCTCTAGTTGAATGCAACCCCCGGGGGTACACCACTGCAGTAGAGTAGCGTTAGGACGTTCCTGTGCTTGAGAGTTACACGCGTCAGGATTCGTGTTATGCACTATCAATACCTTTACTATATACTCCTTGATAGGGGATACGGGTTTTTCACATTTGTGTAGTGCCTATGTATGTTGTTCTCACTGCAGTAGTCCGTATAATCGCTCTTGACAGGTTTTGAACGTGCGACACAAACGCTGATGGCCGCTGCCAGCAAACGAAGTAAGCGCTGCCTCGTCGGCTGTTGGCTCTGTGGTGACGAAGATGGTGGGCTCGAGAGCCTTTGCCGCGAGTGCTGCAGCCAGGACTCGAGTTTTCTGGTCTCTTGAACATTTTTTGCGCTCTCGAGAGCAAAGAAGGGGATGAAAATTATACTCCGTGACTCGGTCTCTTCTCTCTTTGTGAGCGCGAATTCGCTTTCGTAAGAGTGTACAGTTTTGGTTATCCTTTTAAAATATTTATTTATCAAAGTTGAGTCTAAAAAATACAACAGAATCATGCCATTCTTATTCACTTTATTCGTGATTCTCGTTGTTCCTCGCAACACTTATCAGATTTCCCAGTTCATGTTCGCCACTAATTAAGGATGGTTGTTCAAAGAAATAAAGTCCAACCGAGCCGCACATGTAAATTATTGGAAATTGAAGTCAATTGGTCTGAGCTGTGATTTGCCAGTTAATAAATCGATTGGTTGGCTAATTAACTACAGCACCAACGACTGGAGTATTAAGAGTACACGTTAATTCACCAAAGTGGTGCTTACTTTGCTTCAGAGAAAATTTTTTAATTTTCATCTAATTACTTTGCTCGATGAACAACGTCTTTCGCTGGGAAAAGATTGGCTGGGTTACGGCAAAATAAGTTCAAGTTTTTCCAGTTTCCTTTATACACTCACTTGTTACTGTTTTATGTTTAACGTCGTAGGTATTATTTTAAATGAATTTTAATCAAAACTGTTTTTTAAATTTCAGGTACGAGCTGGGCTCTGATAAGCTGTACTCCGTGTCCTGGTACAAGGACAACGTGCACATCTACAAGTTCTTGAAAAAACAACACGAAAAGCTGGTTTTCAATGTGAATGGTGTCACAATCGACGTAAGTTTCAACTATTCCTCTTAAAGTTAAACTGATTCGTCAAGGTGTTAACAAACATCTACACACAATACAAACTCTTTAGTTATTTTCTTCTTTAATTCAACTTTCCAAAAAATAGTTGTTGCCTTAATTTGAATATAAAGGAGTGAATCGCGTTTCGAAAAAAAAAATCGTGTACGAATGCATCAAGTAACACTAAGGCAAAAGAAGGGGATTTGCTGAGAATCCGCACAGAGATAAAATCGAATGACGGCAACGCTGCCTCGAGATTCCCATGGCTTTTGGAAAGAGGGAAACTCTCCACGAGAGCTTTTTTTCGCGTGTATGCAGATACTTTTATCGTCCACGGGACTATCGGGTGCCGACGATCCGTTCAAACGGATTGCAACGGTGTAAGTAAGTAGTAAAAGTCCGCGTTTGGTCAGACGGCTCGAGGACCGGTGGGGGATACCTTCCCATACCACTGGTGCTAATGCATTTGCTTTGATTGCAAAGCTCCTTGTATACTCACCTGATACCCACTTTTTCGTGGCTTTTTCACTGATTTAATTTCAAACAGACAAAAAGTACTTACGATCTTTTAAAGAAATTCGCATCCACTTGCGACACATCAAGGGTTTCAGAACATATTTTGAAGAAGAAAAGAAAAGTTTCCCCCGTACAAAAGTATTTTTGATTTCTCAACAATGAATGTTTTCTAAGCTTATATATTTTTGTTGTGCTAAAGAAAGATGGTAACATACCGTGCATGGTTCATTGTGTCCATCTGCTTTAAACTATATATGCGGCACAAAATAAAACAGTACATCCAAGCATCAAAGCTGCCCTCGGAAGAAGAGGTCAGGTCAGAAGGAAAAATCTCTACTCGATACTCGAAGAGGCAGAGAAGGGAGAGGAGAAAGCATGGAAAGAGCTGCAGACAGGATTAGAGGATTGCTTTGGACTCGTAAATGTCGATACGGATGTGCGACGCGGTCCAGACAAAGTGCAACTCAGCGCTTGATATACGTGTGGTGCCTGGACGAAAAATTTAGCCCCTCGAGGAGGAAAAGATAGAGAGCTGGGAACGGAGGTAACGGGGAATAAACGCCAAGCAGTGCACTTGAAGGGATTCGCGATTAAAATTGATGCCCAGAGGGATAAGAGGGAGTGGATAGCTCGGTTTGCTTGTTACTCTCTGTTCATAGCTTCTCTCTTGTTTCTCTCTTTCTCTGATGCAGGTTAGGCTCGGGGGCTCTTTGAAGTGAATATTACGTTATATCTATTCAGCACTTTGGGAGATTTCAGCTTGATGTGCTTTGTGAAAAGAACGTACAGTGTTGATTGATTAAATTATAAAAAGTATTTTACCCTCGTTTTGGCCTAAGAATCCCTTATCTGAGATTATTTGGAGATAAAAAAATATTTTTGATTAAAGGGCACATACAATGGTACGTGTAGATGTTTTTAAAAGATATTTTTATTTGGAAGCGTAGCTAATTTCAATTGAACCTTATAACTCGTGCTGTGATAACAATACCCTTTACCCATCATTGTGAAATAGGGCTTTTGTTGAAAAAGTCTAAAAAATAAAGAAAAAAATCTAGCTAGTATAATGGACTTTATATCCATCTGCAATTATAGGCAGTGCTATTGTTTACCTGCATACAATATGTATACACTCGAATCGGAGGCTCCCCTTTGGGACGATTTGTCGAGCCACATCGGCTATTTGTGACCACCACTAATCCTCTCCCCAACTCTTGATTCTAATCTTAGTGGTGGCCCCATGACATGGTAAAGCGAAACTAAGGGATACATTGTATTAGCTGGATTCCATGCAATTGGCGGCCACTTTGATATTTCTGGACGTTGGTACAAACTAACACATCCTAACGCTAAAACATCAGTTTAAAATATCATTTCTACTACTATCCCTTAAGATTCAATCAGCAACGAACTTTGATATGATTATGGACCGGAAATCGAAATCGACAGGTGAAAGGGTGTCACTCGCACGTCAACTTAAACTCAGGATAGGTATACTAGTGAATATCGAGGAAAGACGCAAATAATTCATGTAGAAAACCAATAGCTAAATAAATTTTGGGTTGTCGTTTGGATAACTCGAGAGTCAGAGAATAAATAGTCCGTACAGAGTTGCATGGAATAATGAAAAAGAACGCAACGAGTTACTAACCGCACCAAGAGAAAGAGGAATAATTCGATCATGCATAAACATTTACATTTTGCACTCGAAAGGGGGAAAGAAAGGAAGAACGTATCTCGGTGCTGTCTACGCGAAAGTGGAACGATACTACTGCAACAACTTCTCTTTCGTATCTTGGGTGAGAAATCGCAAATTGCTTACATTTGCATTATTCATTGTACCCAAATCGATTTTTCCGAGTACTTTGAAACTGACTGATAAAGAAAGATATAGTGTGTGTATCTCGAAGGTGCAAGAACTTCACCAGTTCTCTTTCTCTTCTCCCCTTTTCTTCGTCATGGTATATTTGTCTTTCGATTATTAATTCCTGCATCTGAGATTGTATTTAGGATATCGAGACTAAAGTTGATCCCAACCTCCTCTACTGAACTAATGTGTTTTTTTCTTTTTTATTCGTATAAATAAGTTTTCATTACATTTGATTTTTCATTTAAAGTTATGGTTATACTTGATCATCTCAATAAAAGATATTCAATCATAAAAATTTTTGAAAACGCAAAAGTTCAATCTTTAACGACTACTTACCGGAACCAGATCAATAGTAAAACAATATAGTTATTGTAAAAGTGTTCAGCTGTGGTAGCATAAAGAAAAACCAAGGAATATGAAACAAAAGTATCTTCTTTTTATTCGTTCAAAGTTTAATACATAGGGTAGAAGTTAGTGGTTGGAGAGATAGTTTTTTACCTGGGCTAAAAATTGTGGAAAACTTTTTTTACTTACACCTACTTTTCTGCTCTTACGGTTTTTCTTTTTCATTTTTTTACAACTCTGTTGCTATCTTCCAAAGCTTTTCTCAAATATTTTTTGAAACTCTTAAAAACAGGCTCTTTTAGTATTAGCCCATTTTGTGAAGAAGTGTTGGGTATTATATAAAAGATTTTTTAAAATTTATTACAAAGCCTCGGTAAACTACAGAAAATATTTTTTTTGCCCTAGGATATCTTATTCATTGTTTGAAATAGTTCGATTAATGAAGAATAAATTATCCCAAATTGGCTTTTCACCCAAAATCAACTACGAAAGAATTAAAGTCCTGACCTAATTACGATACTCACTAATCGCCCAGTCTTTTGTATGCGAACGCAAAAATAATATGTATCCACATGCTTACATAAACTACAGGCTGCAGTAGGAAAAGTATAATAGAGGAATTTGCTGTTTGCCTTTGGAGAAAGGAAAAGGCCACAGAAAAGATCCTATAAGAAAAGAGCCCCGCAGCTTCGAGGAAAGTGTTTTTTTTGTGGTTACTTTTTGCTTTCCTTTTGTTTTCTGCCGAAAAAAATAGTACTGGAGCAGAAAGGCGAGTGCAAGGGACTAAAAGTAAGAATGGGGGAGTCCGTAAAAAGTATTTCAATGTATTCGGCCTAGTTCTCTGTACCACCATGTAGAAGTTGGATATTTAAAGCCACGAGCAGGAAAAAGGGCTGCAACTCCAGCCTTCGCTTTCCCTTTTTCTTCTTTTTCTTTTTCTTCTTGTACCTCCTTACATCTATTCTCTAAATTTTAAGAAATTGAGTGCTATTCTCACTACATTACTGAGTGCTCCTATTTTTCCAACTGCAAATGTACTTCTTGACAGAGCATTCAATAACTACTATTTAGGTTTTTCATCTGGTACAATTAAAAAGTATAATGAAATGCCTGTATCTCGTTTGTTTGAAAGATTTTTCCTAAGTACTAGCTTTTAGCGAAAATAATAAAAAGATTTCCAATTTACCACAAAAATATTTAATTTTGTGTGCTACGACAGTAGTAGGTACGCGTTCTCTACTAGATTTTCCCCAAGGCAAGCACCTATTCGTAATTAACGATTTTATCGGTACTGCGTGGTAAGTTTTGCTAATTGCAAGTAAAAAAGATGGAGAGTGTAAGCTAATACCCACTACAGCAAGTTTTGTGAGCTGAGTAATGCTAAAATTGAAAATTTTTTGCCTGTCTTTGTATAATCTAACATCTAATTGTTATTACAGTATACTCAAGGTGTCAGAATTGTCACAAAAATTGCAATTTTTTTGAAAAATAGCATCAATTTCCAAAAAATCCACACGTTAGGGAATAATAATAGCGAAGCTAACGAGAAGCAATATCCTTCCAAAATTCGTGGCCTCGCAAAACTTTGAGGCAACGCACACACGGTAATTACAGCCACTAATCGCCCAACTATTATTTGCCCGACAATATCTATGGGAAGGCCAAATTACCTCCTCTTTCAAGTGTAGTCATACACTTGCAAAGGGTTACGAATTAATCGAGCAATTCAATTTAGATTCATGAGGCCCTTCCCCAAAGTATAATAGTAGCCAATGCCATGATCGCATGGAGGGCTGTTGTCCAGTATTACATCGCTGCACGAGTATACGGGGGGTCTATTACGACATCGATCAACTTAAAACTCTTCCTGTCGGCCTACGCGTCACATGCAAATAATATTAGCAGCTCAACAGCACGAAGCTCTGCATATAATAACTCCACTTATATCTACGTACCTTTACTCCACTCAAGGCTATCCCCCAAAAACTGTTCCTCACATAGCGAAAGTTCTTGCATTTTTTGGTGGCTTGAGGATCCATGTGAGAAATAGACGTTTTCTGGGCCAATAAAATCTGTAGGATGGAAAAAAACGGAGCTTGTTTTTGCATAATTTCAGTTGGGCGAAAAACGTTTTTCAGACGAGCTTGAAACTATGCCATGTTAAATTCAAAATCACAATTTGCAGGAAAAGACGCTGCAAGTGTACTTTAGTACACTGATTNCTTAAACTAATGAGTATGATTTAATACAAATCTCTAGCATCGTAAAATTAAGATTTAATGTTATGTTTCTAACTTACGCTTTATTTAACTAAAATTATTGTTGATAAAAAACGCATCAAGTGTAGTTTGGTGCTTTTCTTATCATGGTATGCCGTGAGACAGAGATCTGATGTGACACTTGATATTTATCATTATTATTCAAGCTTTCTATTTTTAAAAATGCAAAAAATGATTAAAGGATTTTTATTTTTTAGTTTTCGTAATGGTATCGTCAATAATTTAAAGATCCAGTGCTTTGCGAAAGACTGAAAAAAGAAAATAGTTCAATCCATCATCTAAACTGAAAATTTGATTATTCATCGACCTCATCATTTTTAAAAAGCTTATATGCATCACTGTTATGAATTTCATTGCAAAGTAAAATTTGTCATTGCAGCTTTTAAGGTGTTAATTCATTGCACTAATTTTTGTAAGTGCTATTAGCCACTGATGACGCCTGAAAAAATCACCCTTTTATCGTATTATCTGTATCGTCAAGGTTTTGGGAAGGCAGGGCGCATCGAGACAACAGTGCCATCCAATTGAACAAAAAAGTCTTATATTTTACGAAAAAAAGAGATTAACAGAGAGCTGATTTCAGGAGAGGAATGAGACGCTACTGGAAGAGAGAAGAAAAGGGTATACCCTAGAGCCATGGATTCGCAGCACGTAAACGTCGTTACTTTCGTCGATATTAACGAGGGCGAAATTTCTCCTTTCCTTCTCTTCCTGTTCCTATCTAGTACAGGCAAGGCAGAGCTGCACAGCCAAGACCGGAAGTATTATTTCGTGATGGGGATATGGAAGCTAAATATCGATTTATTTCTGTTTCCTTTGGTTTGTTTTGCGAAAAAAATTTAAAACGATATCAAACGTGCATACAACTTGCGAATGGCATAAAGGTAGATTTGCCATTTTACTTTTATTCGTAATTTTGAATATTTTTTTTATCAGCCTAATTCTATCGTTTATTAAAAATTTTATAAAATTCCCTTGTATCAGACCTCTATGAAGACGTTGAGTTTATATTTGAAATAAAAAGTAAACTTTTAAATTCATCTGAAATAAAGTAACCTTGTATCAAACTTGAAAGATAAATTACGTACAAAATGGGACCGAGAATTCATACATTATTGTATTATTAGGTACATGAAAAGAATCTCAGAACTAATAGAAGCATACTCATTGAAAAAATTTAGTACTGGGAGTAAATGAAATGAAGCTTCAGTCGCGATGGACTTTGATAATAAAAATAATGAACTCGGCCTACTTTACATATTGATATTTGTGAGAAGCAATGGAGTAAATAAAAGAGAGACAAGAAATAAAACGGAGTTAAAATATTGAGACAGAATTCTCGTGGTGAAACAAGTAAATAGATTATCAATACCGTGGCTCCGAGCTTTCGTAGGTCAGTATTTTTCATCTTTCTTACTCTTACTTGGTGTCATCCTCTTTTTCTTCTAGCAAGCTGTTATGATCGACTTTTTTCTCCTTCAGAGCCACGTAACATACCAAATCTACGGAACTAGTTTTATGTTGCCGATATATCTTCTGCTTGTCTATAGTACAGTAGTTTCTTCTTGACTTTGATTTGAGTGACTCGAGTGAGGCAAAGAGAAAAAATTGGAGAAAGATTTTTGTGGTTAGACAAGAAGTTGGTATCATCGATGGCTAAAGATCAAAATGTCCCTCCATCTATCACTATTATTTTTCTCAGCCCTTCTCTCCTTTACACCCAAATACTCAAAGCAAAAACTTTCATAAACTACATCAACGTTTTTCGACGCATTAAAAAAAAAAAAAAAAAAAAACCAACGTATTTCCATACTCAAACAGCCAAACAGCATCACTCGAAAACTTGATTTACAATAAACATGAATAACATATTATCGTTCTTTGTCCTTTCTTTTGTTCCACGCAAAAAAACAACAGATTGCATAGTAGCATTCTTTAGAGCATTGCTGCTCTTAAATCCCTCCCCAGACGTTGGAGCACACCACTCACCCACACAAGTTTTAACCTGGCCTATTTCAAGGGATCCGTGTATGCCTGCTTCGCATAGATGTATAAAGTACAACACTACATGTAGAAATGTGAACTGGAGACTGGGCACGTATATCACGTGTATCTATATAAACACACACAAACACACACACACAACAGAGAAAGTTCCCGTGTGGCAAAGGATGAACGATCGAACCCAGCTTTGTTCCCCGCCCCTCTCGCCGCAGTCAACTGAGCGAGAATTCCTTGACTTCTCGTATTGTTGTTTATTGTGTGGTTTGCCCCAACTTGCTAATGTTGAGTAATAGCTTGCAGCTGCTTCCATGTGTGCATAGGAGGACAAAAAATGAGGGTAGCTCCCCCGATGCCACTATGTGGCGTATGAGCGCATGTGTATGCCAAGTATTGTTCGTATGATTCTAAGAGATGCATTCTTATTCTCATCTCTAGCCCAAGTGAGGAAGTGCCGTTTGTATTGTCAAATAGAATCAATTTTAATTCATGCAAATAACTTAGTACTCATGGATAAATACATAAAAATGTTTAAGATTAAAGACGAAATTTCATATTAAAATGCTCAAACTTATCGCAAGCAGCATCGACACTGCGAAAGTTTTTCCGGACACATACGTTAGTAATATACAAGACACTCGACCACATGACTCTTTCTTTTATTCTTTAAACATATTCATCTACATTCTAGTAAAATTTTTTCTTTAGTAAACAACTCAATCAAGAATGTACAAAAATTTTCCAGAGTTTCAACTGAATGATTACACAAGTAGTAGTATCAACGTTTGGTCAGAAATGTATGACATAGAGGATATTATCTACGAATTACATTTTGAGAAGTTATAATTTTAAATTAGTCACTTAAACTAATGAGTATGATTTAATACAAATCTCTAGCATCGTAAAATTAAGATTTAATGTTATGTTTCTAACTTACGCTTTATTTAACTAAAATCTAAGAAACTCTCCTGCATTGGATGTGTATGTAAAATCTAATCTAGTTAACAGGATCAAATGACAGTCAACCAAGTTTTACAGCACATCTACATAATTTTACAGCAAGAAAAAGGTTATTATTCCATGAAAAATTATGAGTCTAAAAACATACAAATAACCTATTGTTGTTTCCACACTTGGCTTAATTATAAGGATCCACACAATTTCAACAAAAATGCCTTCTAATCAATCGATAATCCATGGCAGATTAAACATACCAATACCAAAAAATTTTTCAGAAACTTTCCACAACAAACTGCAACTGTAATCAATTTTAATAGTAACCAAAATTCGATCTTTGATTCTCTGTTGCAGCCGCACAAATCAAGCGACCAGTTGTTGCAGCTTCAGAGCGTGATCATCGACGCGACCGGCTACTACATGTGCGAAGTGAACACCGACAGTCCTGTGTTTAAGGTCGTAAAGGCCATGGCTTACATGGAGGTCATAGGTAAGCTCTACCCATGAACAGCACATATGTTTTCCGAAAACCTCATTGGCTTATAATCTAGATACATCATCTATGGCTGTGTCACGATTAATGTGTGCCTACATGAGTTTTATAAATCGTTACGTTCTTAATTGTCACTTATTGTTGGGTGTGGTAAACTATCAAGAATACCACATTCTTTGTGGAAAGACTATTCTGCTGTATGATTTTTTATTCGTTTATTCCAATCACATTCCTCACGCGCACATTTACTCAGAATACCTCGTCAACTGATAGATATGCTTTAAGTTACTCTCAAGTGTAAGAACCGATCAATACCGTCTCAGGAGAAAATACTCGTAAACGCGGTTTCTGCGCTCCTGGAGATTCGCTTCACGCTCCGTCGACCAAAAGAAGCGAACCCAAACCTTCGCATGGCTGAGCAGACGCGGACCTCCATCACTTGGTGTTTACCTTGCTCGTTTGAATTTTTCTCATAAAAACGGCAATCTTCCCTTGAAATGGATACCAAGATTTTTTTTTCATTTTCGGTTCGTAATGAATTTTTTCAAGTTTTCAGCACATCATTAAACGCGTTCAATGAATCTCAGATTATATTCAATGAACCTCTCAAGAACACAAAAAAGTTTCACAGGGAATTGAAAAAAGGACCATCGCCCTGATGCTTGTGCAGATAGCACCAGCGTGATGAAGTATTTTTAAATTTTCACGCTTTCTTAAACTTTTTATTTCATACTTATTCTCTGACAAGTGCTCTGAAAACGCATTGTTTAAAGCTGGAAAATGTGTTCAATAGATCCAAAATAACGCGATACAAATATAAGATTAGTGGATTTCATCTTCTCTCTGCTACCATACTTTTAAGAAATGAGTATGCGAATTTCATTGAATCTGCCATAAAAATTCTGTCTCAGTGAAAAAAGAAAAAAAAAATTGAGGACTAGAGATTGTGACAAACAAGAATAGTCATCGTTAGAGACGTACCGTACCTATAGTGATCTGATTGCTGGCATTCGCTTTCCGGCGGTGATTTAGCGCATTGAAAGAGTCCGCGATGAAAATTTTTCTGTTCTCAGAACCACCCCGAGAGGGTCCAAAGATTACCGGTGAAGAGGAAATATATGCCAGTGGTGATATTATGGCGCTGAACTGCACCAGCGCCTTCTCGTATCCAACGGCTCGGTTGCAGTGGTTCATCAACGAAATCGAGGTAAGTCATTTACGCTTCTCTGAAAAGTCTCCTTTATTCTCTCACCTCATAGCCCTCTCTTCTCCTTCTTTTTCTCCTTTCTCCACCCTAGCTCATTTTTTTCATCCTATACTACTTGACGCAGCACTTGCGTAGTACTATGAAGATATTATGCACCTAAATAACAAGGCTACTTTCAATGAGAAAATCGATACAGAAAATTACGGTTGCGTCTGTAATGTGTGTATTCGCTAACAAGTTAAACGTATCACTAATATTTCTAATACTTGAGAAACTTTGAATGACAGAATTTTTCATTCAACCATATTCGTGGTAATCAAATTTTACGAAAAAAAGAAACTAATAATAACAATAATTTAAAAATTGAGTAAGCTAACATTTTCCGAGTATGGAGTATCATGATGATGAGGAAAAAAAAAGTCAGATGTACAGTAGATATATTTGATTATCAATAACGACGACAAAAATTAACACTGCTATATTTCATGCACCAAAAGAAATAAAATGAATACTTTAATTTTCAATCTAATCGTTAGCTAATTGATAAAAAATATCTGGAAATCATTTTCAACTGCTGTATTCTTATTAAAAATCATATTAAAAAAATGCAACCCGATACTCCTAGCAGGGGCCTTTCTTTACACTTTATGTCTTTATAACTTCCCAAGCCGGAAAAAAGCTCCGTCAATAGTATTAACATTTCAGGTTGCCTTTGCGCCCGTACTGGTATACGCGCGGTTAATCCAAACGACGCCTGGCTCAATTAAGTCACACTTGCCTTCCTTTTTGTTCTTATCATCGTCGTCTATACCAAAGCTCTCGTGTGCTCAAACGGAGAGGCGAGCGGTAAACTTGTTTGACGAAGGTAAAGCTTCAGCGCGATTACAAAGTGGGGAGATACAACGTGGAGCTTCTCTCTTATTCTCACAGTAATTACTTACACTTTGCTGAAACAGTTATATTTTTCTAATCCTGTTAAATCGAGGCGTTTGGTACTCAAAGGTACCCGAATAATGTTTTTTTTTTTTTTTGAGGTAGGTAGAGATGATCAGGACGGCACTTCAGCTTCACGACCGCCTGTTTTGTCTGAAGCTATACCACACATTACACTCTGATTGATCATATCTCTAGCTTTACTCTTGTATACGCTTCATTGCAGGGAGTTAATGTTCTTATAAGAGAAAAGGTGACATGGATAGAAAATAATGATTGATTGTCTTACACGAATTTAGTACCATGAGTTTCTCGTCAAAAAAGTAAACTTGCACAAAAAATACTTTATACTGCTTGCCCTTGTTAGAATAATTGTAGGATACGAAAAAATTAAATAAAAGCCTCGCATAGTAGGAACTGTTAACACAATGACAGCGCCATTCACCTACATACTCACACAATAGCAAACAAATGGCCTGGTTAAGCCCATACTCATTGGGATTACATACGTATACGCTAACGATTGATTGATAACTTTTTTTGTGGCAATTTTTGCTTAAGCCCCTTTCCGAATCTCTTCCCCCATCACTAATCCCTTAATGGATTGTAAGCAGCGATAATCTCTAAGATAGGTAAGGGAATATGCGTAGGGAAGTTGCGAAAAACTCTAAGGGAAGAATCGAAAGAGAAATAATAATGGCCAAGTAGAGAGCGATAATTCGACGACGACTTCTTGGAAGGACTATTTGGATGACAATCAGGGAAAGAGAAGCCCCAGCAGAGAGATAAAATCAGCAGTATTCTCTTCCTCTCTCTCTCTACTCAAGCTTTGAAGATGATTTAATATCGACATCTTCTCTGACATCGTTTATCTTCTTTGGCTCAGGGACTAAAGATACTTTACTAAGTGTGGTATCACGAAGCCAAATTCCTTTTCTTAGCTGGGGCTTGCCAACCCGAATCTTGAATATTATATAAATCCAGCGATTATGGTCTATTAGTTGCAAACTTCCGTAACCCCAACTTCTTATCTACTCCTCCAAATCTTACCACGGAAAATTCGCAGCCCTTATTTTCCTATGGACAAGTTTAGTAAAACTTGATGGTGCCTTGATTAAGTTGTCGTCTTTTAAGTGTATAATCATCGACAGAAGCAGTACAAAGAAAGTTGTTACAAGTTCACGGGGTTGTATCTCGGCCAAGGGATCGATTTTTCATCGAGATGGTCTTCTTTGTCAAACTTTATGAGATCGAAAAATAGTTAAATAAAATTTTTGTGTGTTTATTCATGTGTTAACCTTACAATTATTATAAAAACGACAGAACTCAACTTAACATACTGATTCTTGCAAAAACAGAATGTGCTCGATTGGCGTTTTATTCACGAACGAACAGTTTTATATCAGAATGGATTCCTTAAATTAACTAGTAATTTAAATTATTTTACAAAAAAAGTCATGAATATTTTACACTACTCGTGGAATAATTGTAGGTCAGACAGTATCGTTCACATATTCGTGCTCAAATTAGAATCTACTCGTCAGTTGAATAAATTCGCTAAAATTGTCGCTTACAAACGAAGGTCATATAAAAAAGATGTTACCCACTTTCATTAATGAAAATCTAATTTGCTCTAATTTGACTAAAATAATCGGGATTATCATGAACTATTTCTGATTCATTGGTATATGCAGGATCGAGGTCTCCCTCTTTATCCCTTAATTTAACTTTCTACAATTAACTTTTTTTCTTTTTAACCTTTTTGTTGTCTTTAAAAGCGATTTTGGATGTTTGTTCCACAGGTACCTCCAGATTCGGAAGTGTTGCATTCGACACATCACGGCCTTCACAGTACCCGTTCAAGTCTCCGGTTGGAGCTCAAACCAAGGCATTTGACTCACGACAGGATAAAAATTACGTAAGAGTAACATTGATAATCACACACTTTTCAATATAATTTTGATTCAGTTGTGTTAAAAAAAAATTTTTTTTTTTTTTTTTACTTTATGTGCAGGTGTAAACAGACGGTGCGGACGTCGCCGCAATCTACTGTGTCCTTTGTGGATACTAGGGAAAACCAGATATACGGTAATTATAAATTTATATTATATTTATGTATTTGTGAATTCATTTATTTCCAAACGAATAAGCTCTGTTTATTTTGCCAAATACTGCCAAAATAGATAAATATACAAGAAGAGCACGCTTTTTTTGTACCAAGCGAAGCTACACAAGCTTTACGTACTAAATAGCTATAAAGTTAACAGAGCACAACTTATTGTTTGTGCAAAAATTTTTTTTTAGCTAATGGATCTTGAGTTATCAAAAAGGTTAGATGGTTACTAAAACCACTAGTTTTTCATCACTTAAATACATGTTTGTTAAATATCAGTATACTCTACTAATCTTGAAATCGTACCTCACTCGATGGTTTAACGAGTTAAAAATAGGAACACCGAAGAAACAAGTAAGACAGAGCACAAGATAGCAACGGACTACATAGGTGTGGATGAGGTGGTCAAGTATTTCCCACTCGATCCTTCTCTTACCCCAACTCCTACAAAAGGTAGTACAGCTAATACAAGCCAGAGTCGATGAACGACAAAGTGACTCTTGGGCGTCGTAAACCTCCATCCACTGGTTTAATGAGTAAAATAATGAGCGAGAGTGTACATGTTTACACACGTGTACCATTGACTCGATGGATCAATATCTCGTACATTTGTCGATGTCTACACTTTATCAAGAACTTCGCGTACCCTGAGTCATCCATCGAAGCGAGGTAAATTAAGAAACGTCCAACGATTCGTCAGCATTTCTTATCCCTCTATTTCTGCCCGTTTCTTTCAACTGATTCGCAAACTCTCAGAAAGCCATCGCCAGACGGTGCGCCAAGAAATTAAAACAATAAATCACAATTGCAGCTCCATTTTTCCTTTCTTCTCTGGGCTTGTCTTTTAGGGCCCTCGGTCACCGTTTGTCTGTAACTGAAATTGGACAATTTTTCACTTTTCGTCAGATGCACTCGAGCTAGTAACACACGAGCAACCCCGTGCAAGTCTAATTAAAATTTTTGGTTTTACTTTCTTTTACAACTTCTGGAACATTTTATCCCAATAAATGGTGAATATTAGAAAAAGTACGGAAATTGCCTTATAAAATGTAGATAACATACTTGCATCACATCAATTCAGTTTATGACTTTTATTCAGCTTATTCGTTATATCGCTCATCATTTAAATTTAGTCCAAATATTCAGTCTATCGGATTGATCAAACGTTCACAATCCCTATCTGATGAGCAGAGACATATAAACATAGTGTCCACCCCATTGGTATTGCCACGTGATATCCTTTAAAACTCGTATGAAATTATTCCACAGAAAGTTGAATTGATGGTATACATGTACCAATGGGTTCATTAAAAAGGCCAAATGTGCATGCACCTGTTTGCGTATTATCGATTTGCTTTTCTCTACAAAGAGATTCCTATAAAGGGACGAGGACCAATGCAACAAACGAGGCTCATTCAAAACAGGACCGCATAACGTACAAGGACATGCTCCTGAATTATTTCGCACGAGTCATTTGCCATCTATTGACAAAGCCCCGATAGGGTAGTTCTCTCTCCTCTTGCGTCGTTTCGTTGATGAAGTTCGTACACTGTGCGGCTTGACAGTGATTGGTCGATTATTAACGATACAGAGTTTCAGTCTCGTATATACGTGTCCTAGCAGAAATACCTATGCAACTGGCCATGGAGCAATGCGGTGTCGACTGTTCAGTGGGAATTATCATTGCAGAGCCATTCAGCCAAATCGTTGTTGCCTCTTTGCGAGCCATGTGCACCTACATGAATACACAAGATACTAGGCTTACTCTTTGTGCACCTCGTCCTTTTTCACCTTCCAATGTGTGCCCGTTTTCAGCCAATAATGTTACAGATTAATCAGTCTACGTAGCTATGTTATATATGTGAAAATTTTTGGGAAATACTAGAAAAGAAAACTCAAAGAGACGAGCGTTATGCTCGTGGATTGTCCTGTAGGTGTCTTAGAGTACCCATGAGTTTCAAGATATCTTTCAGCGTTGGAAAAGAATGATGAAAAAAAAAAGTAGAAAACAAAATAAGTGTAAGAAATTGGTCAAGAAAAAGCACGTTTTTAATAAAAAAATAAAAATTGAGGTGAACAAAAATCAGTCCGAGATAGAGAAAATTCAAGGACGATTAGCTTTGGCTGATACAGAGGAGGGAGAAAGACGAGATAGTGAAGCAAAAGTACGGAAGAAAGAGGAAAGGAGGGGGAAGAGTCAGGCGAGCGGAAACCGATAAAGCCATCGGACGACTCGGACAAATTGCTCCTAACAACCTTCGATTTTCTCGTTAGGTTGAATCGTTCGCAAAACGCCTCTTGCATTTACCATTTTCAACCCCCAATAAAGTCCCCTCACCCCGTTCTTCTCCGCATCACTCTATTTCTCAGTTTTTAACTTGTTCCCTTGACTTCCCATATTTTTTCCTTCTTTGTCTGCTTGCTCTGACTGAATAGCTCTAAATTTTACCATTACATATCTCATTCCTCAAAACTGTGGGAAAATTTGCTCTTCTTGATTAGCTCACACGGACCCATTGTATCGCCAATTAATCATACTATTTTATGTCTCGTACATGACATTCTAGTATTTTTTAAAGAAAATTATCCATCAATTCCTTCAATACGCATCATTTTCATTTCAGTACAGTGTACAATACGTCATATTATGTCACATTATATTACGATCTTTCATTAAAAAAAAAAAAAAACATAGCACAACATATAAGCTCTTGAAATGCGACTAATGATCTAGAAAAAAGTGCTTCGACGAGCGGTAAGTTCCAACCAAAAAAATTGGAGAACATAGATCCACTCGGGCTTGCGTATATTCCTTCTTTTTTTTGGTTCCATTATTCATCTCTACGCAAAAAAAATGTCATACACATATGGTTTCTCCATCGAACAATTACTCACAATACCATCGCTCGTCCACTACTTCGGGCGTATAGAATAAATTTACATCGTGAAAAGTACCGTCTTTTTATCGATACAAAAATGAGAGAAATGATAAAAAGTAGTGACATATGTTGGATACGTATTTTGCTTTCATAGATCATTATTGCATGGGAAAAGCGAGAATAGATTCAT